GGTATATACCCGGAAGTGGAATTGTTGGCTAAATGGTTTAAGTTTTTAAATATGTGGCTGGATTAGCTTTGTTAGTATTTTGTTGAAAATCTTTGCATCTATATTCATTCATCAGGGATATTGATCTATAATTTTCTTGTGATGTTATTATCTGGCTTTGGTATCAGGATAGTACTGGCCTCATAGAATGAGTTAAAAAGTATTCCCTCCTCTTTCAGTTTTTGGAAGACTTTGAGAAGGATTGATGTTTTTTTAATTAAAATTTTTTTCATTTTTATTTATTTTTGAGAAAGCAGGAGAGCATGAGGACACACGAGCAGTGGGAAGGGCAGAGAAAGAATCACAAGTAGGCTCTTTGCTATTAGCACAGAGCCCAATGTGGGGCTCAATCCCACAAACTACAAGACCATGACCCAAGCTGAAATCAAGAGTTGGACACTCAACAACTGAGCCACCCTGGTGCCCTGGTGTTATTTTTTCTTTAAATGATTGGTAGAATTCACCAGTGGTTCTGGTGGTTTTCTGTGCTGGGAGTTCTATGATTAATGATCATAACTTCTTTAATTCTGTTATGACTTCATTAAATTAACATTTATTAGGTGGGGCACAAGGTGCTGGTTGGCAAGCCATGGTTTGGTAACAGATCACAAGAGATTTTGAAATAGAAAAGATTTTTACTCACAGGTCCTAGAGGAATTATAGGGCATGCCTTCAGGAGCCACATTAGGAGGTCAAGGCAGAGTGTGGAGAGAGGCAGGACCTGGGTAAAGTACCTTTATGAGGATCTGTGGGTGGAGCGCTCTGGAGTTCTGGGCTGGGGTTGGATTTGTCCATTCACACCAGGAAAAAAAAAAAAAAAAAAAAGAGCAGTGTTTTGGTGAGCTTCATCAGGATTTTTATCTAAGGGGCACTTAAGGCATACAGGCACTGGGAACCAGGAGAGACCATCGATCACAAGTCCTATCATTAATTCATGTAAGCAAACTTACCTTTGCTTGCGTCTCTGTGGCCTGCTTTTCAGGACATGTGCTGCCCTGTGTAAAGTCCTTGCAGGTCTCTTGACCAAACAAAATGTATCGCTGAGGCAGCAATTCCATGGAGTAGTTTAGCTAATCAACAACTTATGCGAACAACTTGTTGTAGGTTTGTGCAGATTTTCTATCTCTTCTTGAGTTATTTTGGGGAGTATTTGTATTTCCAGGCATTTTCATTTCATGTAGGTTATCTGATTTATTGGCGTACAGTTGCTCACAACTTCTGTAATACTTTTTATTTCTGTGAGCTTCGTAATGTTCCCATTTTCATTCCTGACTTTAGTGCTTTTGAGTCTTCTTTTGCTCTCTTGGTCAGTCTGAGCTTGAAGTTTGTCAATTTTGTTGATCTTTTCAAAGAACTAACTTTTGTTGATTTTCGATACTGTTTTTGTATTCTCTATTTGGATCTCAGGTCTAATATTTATAATTTCTTCCCTTGCTTTGGGCTTAGTTTGTTCTTTTTCTAGTTCCTTAAGGTGGAAGTTTAGGTTTTTGATTTGAGCTCTTTATTACTTTTTAAAAATTAATTTATTTTTAATGTTTATTTATTTTTGAAAGAGACAGACAGAGCATGAGCAAGGAGGGGCAGAGAGAGAGGGAGACAGAATCAGAAGTAGGCTCCAGGCTCTGAGCTGCCAGCACAGAGCCTGATGTGGGGCTTGAACTCACGAACCATGAGATCATGACCTGAGCCAATGTCGACTGGTTACCGACTGAACCACCCAGGCACCCCTCTTTATTACTTCAAAAAAAAATGTAGATGTTCACCACTGTAAATTTCCCTCAGCACTTTTTGTTGTATCCCATATATTTTAATATGTTGTATTTTCATTTTTATTCATCTCAAATTATTTAATAATTTTCCTTGTGATTTGTTCTTTGGCCCGCTGGTTGTTTAAGAGTATGTTTCTTACTTTACAGTTCATGGATTTTTCCAAATTTCCTTCTGTTATTGATTTCTAGTTTCATTCCATTGTGGTCAGATAAGATACTTTGTTTGATTTCAGTTTTTAATTTATTGAGACTTGTTTTGTGGCTGAACATATGGTCTAGCTTGGAGAATGTTCCATGTGCACTTGAGAAGAATGTGTATATGTTTGTGTTAGGTGGAACAATCTGTATATGTCTAGTAGGTCTAGCTGATTTATAGTTTTTTTCATGTCTTCTGTTTCCTTGTTTATCTTTTGTATGGCTGTGCTGTTATTGAAAGTGGGATGTTGACATCTCTAGCTATTTCCCACATTAGTCTTGTCAGTTTTTGTTTCATATATTTTATTACATATTGTTAGGTGCATATATATTTATAACTCTTTATGTTTTCTTGACCCTTTTTTTTTCATTATATAATGTCCTTCTTTGTCTCTTGTAACATTTTCTGTCTTAAAGTCTATTTGTCTGATATTAGTATAGACACTCCAGCTCTCTTGGTTGCTGCTTACATATAGTATCTTTCTGTCTTTTCCATTTTCAGCTTATATATGTTTTTGTTTCTAAAGTGCAGCTCTTGTTGGGGCATCTGGGTGGCTCAGTCGGTTGAGCTTCTGATCTTGGTTTTGGCTCAAGTCATGCTCTTATGGTTTGTGGGTTCGAGCCCCACATCAGGCTCCACCCTGACAGTGCAGAGCCTGCTTAGGATTCTCTCTCCCTCCCCTCTCTCTGCCCCTTCTCTGCTCACACTTTCTCACTCAAAATAAAAATAAATAAACTTGAAAAAAAAGTGCAACTCTTATAGATGCCATATTGTGGATCATTAAAAAAAAATCCATCTGCCAATCTCTGCTTTTTAACTGGAGCATTTAATACATTTATACTTAATTGATTATAGAGACAGAAGGACTTCTGATTTTCTATTTGTTTTCCTATATCTTTTTTGTTTCTCTGTTCCTCTATTACTACCTTCTCTTGTGTTAGATATTTTCTCATATAACATTTTTATTTCTTTTTCATTTCTCATACATACATTACAGTGTATCTTTCAGTAATTTTCTCAGTGGTTGCCCTGGGGACTGCAGTCAAGATCTTAATTTATGACCATGTAGTTCAAATTAATACCAATTTAGTTTTAATATTACACAAAAACTTTTCTTCCAAATAACTGTACTCCCACCTTTATGTTATTTAAGTCACAAATTACATCTTTATAATTGTGTGCCATCAAGATAGATTTACAATTGTATCATGCATTTTTTCTTTTTTTTTTTAACTTTTTTTCATTTTTTGAGAGAGAGAGACAGAGCACAAGCAGGAGAGAGGCAGAGAGAGAAGGAGACTCAGAATCAGAAGCAGGCTCCAGGCTCTGAGCTGTCAGCACAGAGCCCGACACGGGGCTTGAACTCATGAAGACGAAATCATGACCTGAGCCAAAGTCAGGCACTTAACCAACTGAGCCACTCAGGCACCCCTATGATGTATTTTTCTAATTGAATGATTTTTAAATGCTAACCCAGTATTGCATTCTTAGAATAAATTCAGTCACTAATGATGTGTTATTTTTTTATCTTTATATTATCAGTTTAATTTGCTAATATTATGCTAAGGATTTCTGTGTCAGTGTTCATGAGGGATACTGGTCTATAATTGTGTGTGTGTGTGTGTGTGTGTGTCTCAAGTTTTAGTATCAATATTGCTGGTCTTGTGAGTTGTAAATTGTTCTCTTTTCCTGTATTTTATTTTAATTTTATTAATTTTATTAATTTTTTTGTTAAGTTGATGGGGTTTTTTTGTTTATTTATTTTGAGAGAGAGAAAGAGACAGCACATACGTGTGATTGAGGGAGAGATGGATGGGTGGAGGGGGGCAGAGAGAGAGAGAGAGAGAGAGAGAGAAAGAGAGAGAATCCTAAGCAGGCTCTGCACTATCACTCAAACTCATTAACTCTTGAACTCTTGAGATCATGACCTGAGCCAAAACCAAGAGTCCGACGCTTAACCGACTGAGCCACCCAGGAGCCCCAAATTGATGTTATTTCTTAAATGTTTGGTAGAATTCATCAATGAAACCTTTTGTACCTCCATTTCTTTTTTGTGGGAAGCTTTTCAATTGTTTATTCACTTAAAAAATAGATACAGGGTTATTCAGATGTTGTTTCATTTCATTTTTGGAATGTTGATTTTTTTCTAAAGGGTATCTGATTCATCTAAGTTGTCAGATTTGTTAGCATAAAATTGTTCATATTCTCCTAATAACCTTCTACTGTCTCTGGCAATGTAACTTTAAAAAAATGCTTATACTAGCATCGTAGCACACATTTATATAGCATTTATTACATACTTTTCACTTTATAAATATTAACTTTTAATTTCCACAGGAGGTGGTGAGGTAGACAGTGTTATCTCCGTGTTCTAAATGAAGAAATAAACCAAAGTTAAACTAATAGAGTTAAGGTGCCTTGCTCAAGATTACAGAGTTGGTGTTTTAAGGGCTTAAATTGTAATCCAGGTGGTCTGGGTCCAGAGTCCTTTTTTCTTGACTGCTGTTTACTTTGCATTTCTTAAGTGACAGATACCTGTTCTCTTCTTAAGGAATGTTGCTGTATTCTCTCTAGAAATCATCTTGCTCCTACCACCTTTATTTCACTAAGTAGAAATATTTGTTCCTGGTATTCCTAATTAGAACTTGGAATGACTTTTTTCTCCATATAAACATTATATATGATGGCCACACATACTTGAAATGTTATTGTTAGTACTCTTCTTCAGTCACATGATATGTTAAGAAGACTTCTGGGGCTTCCCTGGGAAGTTCACCACAATCTATAATGTGTAACATGACTTCTGCGGGAAAATACTAGAAGATACTTATTTTAAATTCACTTACCATTTAAATATGAAAGTTGTGCTTTTCGGAATAACAATTTGAATTTACTGAGGTGTTTCTAAATCACAATTTTCAGAAGGCAAACATTAAGATTAAGTTTTACACATATTTTGTTTTACTTTCTTTAATTTGTTGATTAATGTCTTTCAGGGTTATTCAAATGCTCAGAAGAATATTCTTCTTCAGGTGGATCAGAACTGTGTTCGCAATTCTTATGATGTCTTTTCTTTGCTGCGGTAAGAAACTTCTTAGACTTCCTGCACTTTCTAAAGAATCTTCCTCATTTTGAGTTTGTGACGTTTCTGTCTGAGGAAATGTATGGGAGCTTTAGATGTTGTTATTCAGGCTTAGCATTTTTAGCATTTTTTTGTGAGAGCTTCATAAATTTTGTAGCTACAGTGATTTAAGTTTATCTGTTTCACAAAGCCTTCGGAAAGCTGTTTCCTTTCTCTGGACAGTGGGAGAGAATGATTGGAAGCCAGTGATCTTAAAACAGGGACATGAGCTGTTTCCGGTTTTCTGTACTATAAAGAGCAGCAACTAGAGGTACAGACTTTAGACTTATCAAAATCTTAACAACTACAGCATTTCTAAAAAAGCCCTCCACTAGCCCCAGACATGGCTTAAAGTTTTGACCTGCTTTTCTTCTTAAAAGAATCATGTTTGTCAAGGCAAAGGAGCTTTGCATGAATCTCACGCTCAGAGGCTTAACTAAATGCCTTCACTCTATATTTTCATAGTGTCTGGGCTTAATTTTGAAAAATTTCCAAATTTGTTTTTAATTTTCAATGTGGTAGATCATCAAGGACATTTTCACAGGAGGCAGGCAACCAAAATAAATGCGGCTCAAAATAAAGGTAACAGTGACACTTAGCTTGTATTCGCCCTACTTAGACAGATGTTTCATTGAAATTTGATTTTGGCAGTAATTTTCTAATGTTTACATAACACATCATAAATTTCAGACCATTAGACATCCTGAATATATCTACTAGCGGAAGAGTCCAGAAGGATGGTTGGATTCTTGTCCAATTGGATGATTGTTTATTTTATAAACATTATGAAATAGGCCTTTCCTTTGCAAATCTTGAATCTTATTATCCATGATGATAAAGTTTGGTCACATGCCTATGTAAATTGCTCTTAAGAGTCAATGATTTCAGCTATAGTACCTACAGGTGTTTGATGACTTTTGATTCTTATCTGAGGAGTACTTTCACTTTGACTTCTTAGGATATGTAAGAGAATGGACAGGATTGGTATCTGGATGGAAAGCAGGAGGTGTCAAAATATATAACACATTTTTGAGCCTATTCATTCTGGGAGTACATTGAATTTTAAGTATTAAAAAGAAGAATGTACAGCAGTCATTTGAAATGTGGGTAAGCCACTGATATTTCTTGACCTGCCTTCCTCAGTGAAATGAGAGTATGGATATTACTATTTTAAAGATACTTTCCAAGTGTGAGATGGTGTGATCTTATTAGAGAAATCCATAGAATTAAAAGAAAAATAAATATGAAGTCAGTGAAAAGAGGAGGATTTGAGCAAGGTGGCATCATAGAAACTAAGAGAATAGAGATTCAAGCAGCATTGAATGCTCTGTAATGAGACAGGAAAATAAGAACTGAAGAAATACTGTAGGGTCTTGGGAAGCAACAGGGTCTAATAGAGAATGCTTTGGTTAACTTGACCCTGACCTCAGTTATCCCTGGTTTATCCGAATTCATTTAACCCCTCTGATTCTTCTAAAAGGTGGAGGCAGTAACGTTACAAATTTGTGTAATTTACAAGCATTTCCACATTTATTATCTTACTATCTTAGAAGTTTTTTGTGTTCAGACATCAGGGATCAGCCTTTGTCTTCAGTGTAGAAGCTGAGGCCAAGAGGTGTTAAATGATTAATCTGCGAGCACGTAGCAATTAAGAGCTAGACTAGAAGTTGGTGTGAAGGTTTTCTGGCAAGCAAGTTTTGCAGATCCTTTTTAGAGTCTCACTTACCTTTCTAGATTGGTGCTTGTAAAATTATTATAAGGTGCACATAGCAAAATGACAGAGAAAATTTTTTGAAGATCACAGAGCCTTCCATAAATTCAGAATCATCAGATGAATTTGATAGTTGCTCATTTATTTAACATTGATTCATGCAATGATATATGTCCTGGGGGTTTCCTTTCTAGGCATGATTTCTGTTGAGAGCTGAGAAATTTAATTTTGTGCTGATCAGTTTCATTCAGTTTCCCTTCTTTTAACTCAGGCAACATTGTACAAGGATGGAGTAATTTTTAGAAATAATATGTTTTTCTTTTCCTGATGCTTTTTTTGGGGTGGGGGCGGTGTATGAAATTGTTACTTCTTGATCTGTACTTTTATATGAAAACACAGTCTGAGTTCTTGGACATCACTTAACTTAACAAAATTCTCAGTGCATTTGGTGTCAGGACTAAACCCAGATCTCTTGATTCTGTATTTTCAGAGTATATTCTAGTGAATAACTTCCATTATGTTGTTGTGCCACTTGGATGCATTTATTTCTTCCAAGTTTTAAGTGTGAATGTCACAGAAAAATAGGATATCTTGACTAAAGCAAGGATTTTGCAGCACTGACGACCAGAGCATTAGAACCCATTCAGGTGGATGTGTTACACTGTTTCGTGGGAAAACCGTGACCTGAGGTTTTATTCAGTGTTTTCCTCCAGTAGTTAAACATGTAGGCTAATTTCAATGTTACCAAAGTAATAGCAGCTCTTTCCAAATTTACATTCAGTATGTGTGATGGTAATTAAATTTTTACTTCTCTAACCCTTGGAAATGCGAGGATTAAGTGTTCCATTTAATGAGGAGCCACTTTACTCATTACATTCAATACGTCAAATTAGGATGTTCACCACAAGGTGTCAATGTTGCTCTTTGGCTGGCACTTGAAATTTCATTTATTTTTATGGTTTTGAATTGAGAAAAGCTGGGTTATAAATTACAAGTGAGCATTTATTTTTAGAAGTTAACTTTTTTCCCCTTCTATTATTCCTTCTAGGTTCAGGAGTTCCTAGGCTTACTGGATAACTTTCTCCTTTCGGTTCTGTTGATTCTTTAAAATCCTGTTGGTGATACAGAGTTAGTCAAAGATTAGAAAGAGAAGGAGGGACATGGTTGGTGTGTAATTTAGATTTCCAGCTGTGGGGACAGCGTGGGATCAGCGGGATGAGGCTGGAAGCAGGAGATGGCTGTAATCCTGTCTGTTCTCTGAGACTGGACGATTACTTTTGAGTTTAAAAACTCATTTTCTTTCCTCTCATACTTCTTCAAAAAAGGTAGCTCTCCTGTAGTGAGATAAGTGGGAATAATTTTGGTATTTTCCTAGGATGGTTTTTATTGCTCCCTCCCCCTTCTTGTCATGCCTGTTTTGCCAGTTTAAGAAGTAGAAGTGGGTGAAGAATCATGGGCCTGCCACCTTCATTTCTTGTTCCTAATACTGTCATAGGCCCAAAACTGGGTGCCAGACTTGGGGCAAATTACTCTCCTTTGGTATGCCTCAAACTACTTGTGTAAAATGGCAATATTTTTCTCATAGGAATATTATGAGAATTAAATAAGGGAAGATATTTAAAAGATCCTAGGACAGTTACTGACATATAGTAGACATTCAGGACAGAATGGTTTTCATTTTCCCCTTTCCTTCCTCCATCTTGGAATTAGCTTTCTTCTCAATGCCACACTGTTCCTTTTTTCTATTAGCGTTAACTTTTTCAATCATCGGCATAATGTCTCTTTCTTTTCCTGCCATTCTGATGTCTCCCACCTCATCTCTACTTTAGAGTTACTTTTATAAATCCTGAACAATCATGATAAAATTGCTTAATGGGTATATGTTTTTTCTCCCTAGCAACACTGAAAACTTCTTAAAGGAGGGTATTCTTTCATATGGCTATATTTCCTCCTCTCTTACTATCTTATTGACAATCCGCAGGTATGTTGGAGTTCCCGTGGATGCTGTTGTGATCCTGGAGCCCCAGGTCCTGTGGATCCTGTGGCTCTTCTACATTATTCTTTCTCCCTGAGTGCTCTCTTCCATGACCAGAGCTGCACCCAGCACACCCTCAAATCTGTACCTCCAGTTCCTTCCTCTTTTGGACATTTATATTTCATGTTCTGTAGGAATCTCAGCCCTAATGTGTCCAGAGCTACACTCATTGGTGTAATACTTCTCTACCTTTTCTTTTCCCTGGTCTGATGTCCTGTATATCATCATGTCAGGCACCCAAGTGAACATACTCCTCTTTGTTCCCATTTCCATTTTCTGGGACTGTTTCTTGACCTCCTAACTAGTCTCCCTACTACCAGTTTTTCCTTCATGCAATTAGTTGCTATTATTTATTGAACAGTAACTTTGTGCCAGGAACTTTTCTCAGGGCTTAGCATTCATAAACTCTCTTAATTTTATAGCCACCCTCATTGTTGAGATCTCTTTCTGTGCCTGTTTAACAGATGAGGAAATTGAGGCACAGAGTAGTTAAGTAGCTTATCGAGGTCACATAAGTAGTTCTTGTTAGCCTGTATTCAGATCCAGAAAAATCTAGTTTCTGAGCCCATATTCTTAACCAGTATATTTTACTGCTTTCTAATCTTTTGTATTGCTTTGGTATGATTTATCTGCCACATTGCTGCCAGAGTAACCTTAAAAAAAATATATATATGTCAGTTTTGCCACTCATTGGGCCTAGAAATCTTGGAGCCATCACATATAGGATATAGTCCACAGTTCTTCTTCTTTTTTAAAGTTTCTTTATTTATTTTGAGGGGGAGAAAGGGCAGAGAGAGAGAGAGAGAGAGAGAATCCCAAGCAGGCTCCATGCTCAGTGCAGAGCCCAGTGGAACCCAATGTTGGGCTTGATTTCACAACTATGCGATCATGACCTGAGCTGAAATCAAGAGTTGGACACTTAATTCACTGAGGCACCCAGGCGCCCCAAGAAGTCCACACTTCTTAATGTGGTATTCAACGGACATTGTCCTTTTTTTTTTTCTTCTTTCTTTTTTAAAGTAATCTCTACCCAATGTAGGGCTTGAACTCATAACCTCGAGATCAAGAGTTGCACACTCCACTGACTGAGCCAGCTAGGTGCTCCTCAAAGGAGTTTTGAATGTAGGGACTAGTGTCCCTCTTTCAAGTCCTCCTACCATTGCCTGTGCAACTAATAGCTAGCATTTATTGAGTACTTACTGTATTACAGTTAGTTCTCCATTGTC